AGCAAGAGAAAAGGGGTTAGAAACTACAGTGTCTGTATAGGGTCAGAATCAGCGGAGAATCTTGGCTAATGGGAAACAGGCCTTGAAGCTGCTGTGTAGTAACAAGGAAGACAGGATAGCATCTGATGAGTTTATGAGGCCAGGTTGTAGTCACATGCTGAGAGTCCTGATTCTCTGTACACTCTCTTGCTTATAGCTTGTTTATTTTATAAAAGGTGAGGCTATAGATAGGACTGTTATTATTCAATACACTCTTTAAAATGACTAAATATAGCCATTCCAAACTACTGAAGAATAGAAGAATTGATTAGCGGCAACCAAGAGAAGCATCAGATATTCCAGTGGAGAAGTAAGAACACTTACAACCATGGAATGGACTGATGGAGGGACAGGGACAGGTCTGACATGCAGTTTCCCCCAGTGATAAACACTATTGTTAGTATATGGGCTGAATAAGAAAAGAATGCAGCCAGGCACCATTTTGGACTTTCAGTATGGATACTCTAGTGGGTGCATTCAATCATCCTAATGTCCAGGAAGTGGGTGCAGGGAAATTTTGAGCCAGAGACCAGCCTGGGCTATATATCACGACCCCATTTCAAAAAGTTTACTCACTGAGAAGGGGCAGAGGGGCTATGGATTAGAAGGCTCATTCCTAGCAGGTAATGTAAACACCTTCAGTGAGATAACCAATAGCTAGGGGAGAATTCTGGGTAGAGATGAAAGGTGAGATCTTGCACTAGGAAGCTGACACCTAGAACATTAGAACTAGGAAAGCTCTTACTTATTTAGAGTGCCCATGATAGCAATCCCTGGGCATATTTTGGCGATTCTATTTTGAGTATAATGTAGATGAAAAATTATTTCTCTAGCAGGCACTGATGCCTATGAACCTTGCCACCCTCTCCTGCCCATAAAGTTCAAGGCTCTCTGCCAATCAAATTCACCAACTCTGGACCATGTGCAGGACTGAGGCTCAAGAACTTCATTTTGGGGACCTATTCTAGTTTAATTTCTGTTGCTGTGATGAAATACCCTGACAAAAAGTAACTTGGGATAGAAAAGGTTTATGTCAGCTTACAATTCCGAGTTTTGTTCTTATTGTGGAAAAGTCAAGGCAGGAACTCCTCAAGGCAGCTGGTTATATCACCTGCAAGAGAAGAGAGAGAATAAATTGCTTGCTTGTGCTCAGCTCTATTTCTCCACATTTATATAGTTCAGGAAATCCTGCTCAGGAATGATGCCACTCACATTGGGCTGCATTTTCCCACACCAATTAAGGCAACCAAGGCAGTCACCCACAGATATGCCCACAGGCCAACTTTATGTAGACAATCCCTCATTGAGGCTCTCTTGACAAGTGATTTTTAGATTGTATCAGCTTGACAATGTAAACTAACATCAGAGGATGCTTGTTCCTTTTAGGGTTAGCAATAGTTGTGCATATGGGGTTGATTTGTGCAAACAGGAGTGAGAGAGTTGTTACAGGTGGCTGAAATAAAATTTAAGCCTAACTGACATAGAGATGGTGGAAAATTAGAATTGATATGGTATCAAGTTTGGGGCATAATGTCGGGTGTCATATCTGGTACATTAGCCTTAAATCTGATTCTTATTTTAAGAAATTGACTTGTGCAGTCTAATTAATGAGTGTTTTTATCTGTTATTGGCTGTTATCTAAATACACAGGACTGGCAAAAATCTCCATAGGAGATCATGAAATGTGAACAGAAAGGTTAAGATAGAGAAATATCTAGTGCAGTGGAAAGATGTCCTTTATAGATAGATCTAGCCTGAGGGACTTCTGTGGTCCATGGGGCAGGAGTAGGAGAAAGGACTGACAGAGAGCAATGTTCCATGGAACATGCAGAGCAGAGGTCGGATAGCTCTGTACAGAAGGAAAAAAACAACAAGGTGAGCGGAGACAAATTTCAAGCTCTTTTGTGTCTACATATACTGCTGAGTTGATGAAAGCTCTACCACATGGCAGATATGGAACCTTGGCCATATTTATAACCTATATATTTTTGCCCTCACCCCATAGAGAAGCATTTATAAAGGCTTTTACAGTATGCTAAGCACAGAGTTTTCTCTCCAATATTAAGTATTATTGTTGGTATATTAGTCATAGTGAGGTTACTTGAAAAGGCCTTTGGGGCTGAGGTGGCAGGTTACTCAAGGTGCATATGAATTGTTTGGTGAGAGACAAAGTTGGCATGGGGAGGAGGATAGTGGAGCTGGTGTTAGTAGCCTTGTGAAACGTCAGGTAGCCTACAGGGGATCAGAGGCCAGGTAGCCTACAGCTGGATTCAGGGGCTAGGGGAGGGCTGAGCAGTGGAACAGTGCACTTTTGATAGGAACAGAGAGAGAATGGGATTTTTCTGCAGGGCTAGAGGGGAATCAAGCAGAAGATGCAGTTTTCAAGGAAGAGTTGGAGAATATAGAAAATTATATGATTATGGAGCAAATGGTTTAGATGTCACTGTAAAGGCAGAGGTCTGTGGGACAGTGTTCAGATGGCCCTGCAGACCTACCCTTGAGAAAGTTCTTCCAGGTAAGCCAGGGGCACTTGAGGGCAGACAGCCTGTGCTGAAAAGTGGTCTACTTTGATGGTTGATGCTCTCCATCCTGAATGCTGAGACAATGGTTGCAGCAGGAGGTGTATCCTCTCTTCTTGGTGCCTCCTCCTTACATTTGACTTTCTGAAGCAAGGCCCTGGGTACAGCCCAGCCTTGACTGTTGTGTGTTTTACCTGTAGCCTGGTGATCTTGATGAACCGTTCTCCTGTAACTTGAGTTCCCTTAGCCTTCCTTTGAGACCTGGCTTTGTTTTGCATATGTAGGTCATTCCAGCAAGTGAGACCCTCACTAGCAAGGAGATGTCACTCATCATACTTGCTGCTGTCCCACCCCTACCCAGTGATCCTTCTTCCTTTCCCACATCTCCTCCACCCAGATACCACTGTTGTAGGTGACCAGTCCAGTCTCTACAAAGGTAATACAGGGAAATTTGCCCTTAAGAATCAGTTCCCAATACAAAACAAGTCCTGCATTCTGGAACATTCTCTTAAGAAAGTGTAATTTTAATTTTAAAGTAAAAGCAGATATAACTTTATTTTAAAATAGTAGATATTTGTAGTAACCAGTGAACAAATACAGAATATTAGTTTTTAAATCAACTAGGTGTTACTAGAAATTCTACTTCCCTTCCTAAAATAACCATATCATTGACATTCATTATTCTAAATATCCATGTAACCATGTATAAGCTTTATATAAATGGTAATATTAAAGTCCTGAGTATTTTGTAACTTCATGTTTTATTAACAATTGATACTTTACACTTAAGTAAATATATACTAGATGATCAACTATACTTTTTTTTTTTTTTTTTTTTTTTGGACAGGGTGTCTCTGTGTAGTTTTGGTATCTGTTCTGGAACTCGCTCTGTAGCTCAGGCTGGCCTTGAACTCAGAGAATAGCCTGACTCTGCCTCCCAAGTGCTGGGATTAAAGGCATGTGCCACCACTGCCCAGCTTCAACTATACTTTTTTAAAAATTTTTTGTGTGTGCTAGTAGAAGCCCATGAACTGTGGACTGGTGGCTATGGAGCCCCCATGGGACTGGACTAGGCCCTCTGGATATGGAAAATGGTTATTTGGCTCAAATTGTTTGGGGGGCACCCCGGCAGGAGGTTCAGGATCTGTTCCATGGTCTATGGGCAGGCTTTTGGGAATCTGGTTCCTGAGGTGTGATGCCTTGCACAGCCTTGGTGCAGTGGGAAGGGGCTTGGACCTGCTTAGGCTCAGTGTGCTGGGCTTTACTGACTCCACATGGGAGACCTTGATGTGGGGGATGTGGGGATGTGGGGTGGCTTGGGAGGGAGAGCTGGGGAGTGGGAGGAGGGAGGAGGTGGGATCTGTGGGTGGTATGTAGAGTGAGTAGAAAATTTCTTAATAAAGAAAAAACTTATATAACCCCCCCAAAAAATTTTGTGTGTATATATGAGTGTATGTATGTGCATGTGTATGTATGTATATATGAGAATTCAATGTATATATGTGTGTTCAGAATGTGTGTGAGTGTGTATGTGTGTGTATGAGATGTGTGCGTGTGTGACTATATGTATATAAGTGTTTGTACATGTGCACATATAAGTGTGCATGTGCGCGCCCGTGTGTGTGTGTGTGTGTGTGTGTGTGTATGCATGTGCCAAGGCATGCCTGTAGAGGTCAGAGAACAAGTTCAGTCTTCCACTGTGTTTGAGACAGGGTCTCTTGTTTATCACTGCACAGACCACCCCATATGTTGTGATATGAGACTGTGCTACTACACTGGCCTTATTGCACATGCCAATTATTTTTTTCTACAATAAGATACACTTTCAGGAAGTACAAACACTTTACATTCCCACTTGTGTTGGTATCTCCCTCATAGTTAATAGTGGAAAGATGTTTTAACCACTTTTTACTGAAAAGAGAAAATAAATACCATTCCACTTTCGCTATTTTACTCTTTGTATGAAGGGCTAATCTGACATGTTTACTGACCATATTCATGTCTCTCTGTGGCCAAATGGTATGTTAGACGTATTCACTGATTTTTTTTGGGGTGGGGGGTGGATGGAGGACTGGGCTGGAAATCAAACCCAGGCCATGTACATGTGAAGAAAGTGCTCGGCCATTTATCAACGTGCCTTCAAGACAAGAGTGTGCCATGTAGCAAAGGCTGGTGTTAAACTGGTGGCCCTCCTGCCCCTAACCTTCAAATGTTGATGTTACAGGCTTTCTTCCTAACTTGAACTTGTTTGAAGGTTGAACCTGTATTTTCTAGATTATTTGGCAATTGATCTTGATTGTGTGTGGGTTTTTTTTGTGGTATAAAATTTAAATTACATGTATCTTCAGTCTGTCAATATTTTATTGATTAGCTGAGCACACATTAATATTTTTATACATCTGTCATTTACATCGACACAATTTGCTTCTGCCCCTCACATGCCAGTGGTTTGTAATTGATGTGCCACACAGTTAACACCCGATGGACCTAATTCTCTGTGGGACAACCTCAACGATGGCCACAGTGGGGAGAAACGAAGCACAGAAGATGTTGGAAAATCACCAAGGTCAGCGTTGAAAGGCACTCTAGCTGATCTGGGGGTGGGGTGGCCAGGGAGCTTTAGATTCCCAGGAGGCTGGTTTCCTGCAGTGCCGTCTCTGCCAAGTGATAACCTGGAGGGCAGGGAGCACTGCTGTTGACAAATTACTCAGCTTTCCGATTTTGAGCACATTTATTTGGTGATGACATTTAGCTGGGCACTGCTAGAAGTAGGTTTTGTGTGTGTGTGTGTGTGTGTGTGTGTGTGTGTGTGTGTGTTTTCACACACACAGGAACTCTTGTTTTACTGCCATGTCTTAAAAACCCTGTAATGTTGTTTAAGGATACAGCGAACCTATCCTGGCAATCATGTTTGGTACTTGCATGACGCTCAGTACCCCTCTAGATGACCCGATAGATACCTGCCCAGATGGTGATTTATGCTCTTGCCTGGTGTGCCTGATCATTTTAGTTTAAAACAAGTTTAGGAGACTGGGACCATAGCTCAGTGGTAGCGTACTTGCCTAACATCCTCACGGCTGTAGATTAAATTCTCAATGCTCCAAAAGTAAAAAGAGAGAAAGGAGTCTCATTAACATTGTAAATAGTGCAAATGAGGTTAAGATCATGATGGGAAAAACCACAGAGACAGCTGACCCAAGCTGGTGGGAGCTCATGGGCTCTGGCCTGTCAGCTGGGGAACATGCATGGGACCAAATTAGGCCCTCTGAATGTAGGTGACAGTTATGTGGTTAGATCTGTTTGGGGAGCCCCTGGCAATGGGACCAGGACTTTACCCCGGGTGCATGAAATGGGTTTTTGGAACACATTCCCTAGGGTGCTCAGCCTTGACATGGGGTGCAGTTGGGGATGAGGAGGAGTTCGTCCTATCTCAACTTAGTATGCCAGACTTTGTTGACTCCCCAAGGGAGGCCTTACCCTCTCTGAACAGTGGATGGGGGGCAGGGGTTGGGAGAGGTGGGAGGATGGGAGAAAGGGAGGGAGGGGGGACTGGGATTGGTATGTACAATGAAAAAAAAACTTTTTAAAAAAATAAATTAAGAAAAAATTGGGGGAGAGTGTAGCTGTTGAATATACCTTGATAGAATGGTATATGTCCCAGAAAAAGGAACATTACTATTATTATTTTAAATATTTTTATTTTATATGCATAAGTATTTGCTTGCATATATGTATGTGCACTATATGCCTGGTGCCTTGGGAGACCAGAGAAAGGAATGATAGCCCTTAGAATTGTAGTTACAGACAGTTGTGTGCTGCCATTTGGGTGCTGCGAATGGAACTCACAAGTACAGTACTCTTAACTGTTGAGTCCTATCTCCAGTCCCAGAATATTATCTTAAACAAGCACTTATGACCCAGGCAGTTGGCATGAATTATCTCATCGAGTCATTACTTCTCAAATACAGAAACTGGGAATGGATCTGTGGGATTTCTTGCTTCAAATCACCTCATGATGTATACAGTGGGATGAGGAACTCCTGCCAGATTTTTTTTAAAATTTTTTTTTACACCCAGGTCTTCACTTTCTGGTGCTATGAGAAAGCTCTGAAGCAAGGCATCTTACAAGCCATAACTGTCTTCGAAAAAACCCGAGAGAAATGGTCAGAAGTACGAGCCGGGCTGCATTATCTGTGCCCTCTTGGGGTTTGCAGCAGCTGCAGTTCAGAATCAAAGCTCAGCATCAGGGAATTCACTCGAAACTCGACACTATTTCCTGAACGCTGAGATTTTTGGCTACAGAATAGGAAATATTTCTCTAAATCATGGCACTTTGAAGAATGTGACATGCCATGAGAAACTGCAAAATAACAGTCACTGGATTCCCCAACGTGAGGTAAGGATAACTCCTATTGACACACAGAGCCTGTGGAGACGGAGCTAGCCGTCACTGTACAGCTGACGGCTGTACGCTGACTCTCAGACACACGTCCCTGTTCATTCCTCCTGGGAGAATTCCTTTTTGATTTTTCTCATTTTGTTTTTCAGACAGAGTCCTTAGTGGCTTCTAACTCACTGTATGTATAGCCAAGGATGACTATGAACTTGGGATCCTCCTGCCTTCATCTCACAAGTGATGACATTACAGATACGTGCCCTGTTTCTGCAGGACTGGGAATCAAGCACAGGTCCGTGTACATGCTAGAGAGCAGTCCAGCTGCAAACTTAGCCTCAGAAGACAGCGTAGACATCCTCAAAGGGTGAGGGGCAGTAGAGCAGGTGTATGACAAGCGACCAGTGCTGTGAATTGACTCCCTTGGACAAATGTAAAGTGAGCCCTGGGTTGTTTTGTTGATTTGGAATCACATAGAAATGGAACTGTTCATCTCATTTATGCAATCCAGTTACAAGTACATGGGAAGAAAACACAGCTGTTCATTTCATTGCCCTATACATTAAAAAAAATCGTATCTGTGCCGATAGTGACAGAGTCCACTTATTTTTGCTTGATGTTCTATTCAGTTTGACCTATGTGTGTGTAAAATGGATTATAAAAATCAACTAAATGAACCACTTGTAAAATGATCTAAAACAAGTTCCTCTGTTGTGTACATTCCATAGCTTCACAGTAACAGACAGACAGACGTCTGCATGCTTCCAATCCAGAGGCAATAGCACCTTCTAGAACATGAACAGTTATGCTTTGGTAGGAAATGCACGAGAGTCTGTGTTTTCTGGTCCCTGTTTGCTCAGAAAAAAATCTAGTGGTCAAACATAGAACCCATTTTTTTTTTTATGATTGGATTTAAAATTTAGACAAATGTTAGTGTTCACATTTTGCTCTTAAAGAATGAACCTCAACAAAAACACTGATTATATCGTTTTGGGGTAGTGCACAATAGTTGAAAAATAGGCATTATAGAAGTCTGCATTATAAGAATGTAAATATATTAAAATAACTTGTACCATCTTTTAGCAATTATGCTGGAGCCAAATCAAACACCAGAGAATCGTCAAATTAGAGGGTTTGCGTTTGTCAGTTTTTGTTAGAGATTTCCACCTTCAACATGCCAGTTGAGATAATGCCTGTGCTTGGATAACACAACTCTAGCCAAAGTAGGAGAAATGGGCGTTATTATTTAAAGGGAATGCGAAGGGCAGCTCTATTCCCAAGCTATGGCATCAGCTGGCACCACTGCAGACACTGGGCTCTTTGATGAGGCTGCCGCACAGATGAACTCTCGACTGACTCTCATTCTCAGGTTTTAAACTCTTTTAAAATTGAATTTTATTTTTCATTAAAAAATATTTTTACTCATTTTACATACCAACCACAGGTCCCCCTCTCATCCCCTCTCCTGCTCCTCCCACCCCCACCTAAACCTCCCTCCCTTGACCTAATTCCTCATGCCCTCCTCCAAAAGGGTAAGTTCTCTCATGGAGGGACAGCAAAGCCGGATACATTCAGCTGAGGCAGGACCAGGCCCCTCCCCACTGCCTCGAGGATGAGCAAGGTGTCCGACCCTAGGTAATGGGATCCAGAAAGCCAGCTCATGCACCAGGGATAGGTCCTGATCACACTGCTAGGGACCCCTCAGTCAGACCCAGCTACACAACTGTCTCCCTATATGCAGAGGATCTGGTCTGGTCCCATGCAGGTTCCACAGCTGTCCATCTAAAGTTTGTGAGGTCCTCTGAGCTTGGATCAGTTGTCTCTGTAGATTTCTCCATCCTGATCGTCACCCCCCTTGCTCACACAACCCCTCTTCCCTCTCTTTGACTAAACTACCAGCAATAGTGTTGAGGGTGCCTGAACTGGCCTACCCTGGTAATCAGATTGGTGACTACCCTAACTGTCATCTGAGAGCCTTCATCCAGTCACTGATGGAAGCAGATGCAGAGATCCACAGCCAAGCACCAGGATGAGCTCCAAGAGTCCAGTTGAAGAGAGGAAAGAGGGACTTTTATTCTTCTAATTGTGTGTATGCGCATTTAAGAGCAGGTGCCTGCTGAGGCCAGAGGTATTGAGCTGGAGGTATATGTGGTTGCAACCACACAATGAAGATGCTAGGAACTGAACTTGGATCTTTGGTGAGAGCAGTGCTGGCTCTTAACCACGGAGCCATCTCTGTAGCACCATTCACTGGGTTTTAGAAGCTACTTTGCTGCCTATTGGTATTATGAAAAGGCTTGAACACCAAGATGCAAATTAAGCCCTAGAACTGTGATGTCTATCCTCAACTTCAATGTTAAGTCATTATTTATTCTTGGATTTGGTCTGGATTTAATTAATAAGATATATAGTAGTCTAAATATGTCTTTTATTTATTTCAACTAAGATTTAAGATTCTTTAAAGCAAAAATTTAATCTGGTCATCTCCATCTGATTTAATCTTCCTCTGACTATCAATGGTTACTCCCTTTTCCCTATATTATTATTATTCCCTTTTAATACTTTGTTGATTGTAGATATTTCCTCTAAACTATAAAATTTTACACTAAAATGAAAGTGTGAGTGGTTGGGGAGATAGTTCAGTTTGTAAAGTGCTTTCCACACCACCGAAAGGACTGGAGTTACATCTCTAACACCTATATTGAAAACAAGTTTGGCGGTACATACTTGTAACCCCAGGACTGGGGGGGGGGTAGAGACAGGAGGATACCCTGGGGTTCATTGTCCATCCAGTCTAGTCTAAAGGGCAAGCCTCAGGTCCCAGTAAGAGAATCTACCTCAAAAAACAAGGTGGTCAGCTTCTGAGGATTAATGTTTGAGTCTGACTCTGGCCTCATAAATGCATACAGGACACACATACATGAACGAGTACACACACACACACACACACACACACACATAGATTCAGAAGAAAAACAAAACCACACAACTTTTCTTTTGAGATTCAAACTGGCTTAGGAAAGTGAAGTACAGCCCAGTTTTCTTTGTCCCTCCAGCTGCCATGACTTGCTTCCCTTAGTCATGACTTGGAAACTGGTAAGAATGAGGCAAACTCCCATCCCATCCTCCCCCCACACCCCCACTCATGGCTCAGTTCCAAAGTGTGACAACCAGCAGGTTAGTGATTCCCGAGAGAACAGCTTTGGGGAACTCGACTACAAAATACGGCTGGGGATGTGAGCAGGGAAGAGGCGAAGTGCTTCTTATCCTGGGAGGGGAGGCACAAGCCTGCATTTATTGATTCTTTGATCTGTCTAGTTTGAAGTTTGAACGGAACAACAAGAACACTTATAAATCAGTTCAGTGTGTTTTCTGTAGGAAGCCGAAAGGATTGCATGTCTTGCACACTAGGCACATTCATCCAGGAATTATTTTATCTGCCTTAAAAAAAAAAATCATCCCCAAATATTTCCAATGAAAACTTCCAAGACATTAAAAAGTCACATGAAGCGCTGGTGCCAGTGCCACTTTCCAAGAAATCCTCTTTTATTTGCTGTTTGATCCCCAGTTCAGCGCTTTCTCCCCATCTGGCAGCTGTCACTTAGGCAGATGGCCACCAGCTGGGAGGGCAGCCTGTGTGTCTTACCCCCTGGGCTCATCGGGCTCCAGCCTCCTCCGCAGACCTGATGTGAAAGTGTACAGCGTCATTCCACGGGCTGGCTGGCCAACTTCTTTGCTGGCTTGTCACCGCCCGAAAGCCTCCAGAGGGCTCTCCTTGAGGAATCTGGGATGTCCTTAGGTGACAGTTTTCTGATGTCGCGGCTTCATCGTAGATGACAGGGTAGCTAGTGTACTTACACAGTCCAAGGCTTCCAGTTAGGAGGGCCACATGCTTGCCATCACATTAGTGAGGTAGAAGAAAGGCACGGGTCTTTAAAAGAAGGAAAAGTAGAAGTAGACACGAATCTTTAAGGCAATATGTCCCTCTTGAAGTCTGGACGGTGGATGTCTGAAGAAGAGAATTATTCTACTCTAGAGAATATGCTCATAATTTCATGATCATTTTCCTGGAATTACTTAAATAAGATTTTTAAACAACTTGAAACAGCGTTAATGATCCATGAGCATCTTGTTTGGAATATGTGCTGCATGCAACACGAGGCAATGCTTCTGAGAGAGATTTCTGCATTTCTTAAAGACTGCTTGGTGGCTCCAGGGTCTTACTGCCCTTTCCCCCATGACAGTGACTCTGGGTTACCTTCATCACTACAGTTGCTCTATGGAAAGCTGGCTGGAGTTCTTGCTGTTCTCAAGCCTCTGGGTCAGCCAGAGAGAGAAGACTCTCCCAAAGCTTTCCCCTCTGCACAAACACCTGCCATTGTTCTGCATTTCCTTTCTATTACAGGTCAACTTTCAAGGGGGAGTGGCAGGGAATAATGCTAGAAGGCAGGTTAGCCATTGTTTGCCCATTTGCATTTTTCTCCACATAGGAGCAGAGATGCTCACAGAAACTCACACATACAAGGAAGAGTATACACAGCTGGAATTTGTCTGAATTCAGATCAAACACCCTGCACACACACATACACATATACATGTGCAAATATATGTATGTATATGCTGTCTTACGTGTTATGTCATTTTGCTTTAATACTGCTATAATTTATTTTTCAATATTTATTTTTTGTGTGAATGGTTCTTTTGCTTGTACCTGTGTATATCACATGTGTGTAGTGCCAGTGGAGGTCTTAAAAGGGTATTGGACACCTTGGAACTAGAGTGACAGGCAGTGTGAGTCACTATTGGTGAAATTATTAAGGCCACTACATGTAGTTAAAAGGGAGGTTTATTTAGTGGTGTAACTTACAAGTGAAGGGATAGGTAGGTTGCAGGGTCTGGGAAAGGTGTAGTGCAGTCCAGCAGTGTTCTCTGGAGAACTCTGCTCGGTCTACCTCCTGCGTCCAGGGTCCAGGAGACAAGAGAGGTGGTGCATCCAGATCTTGGGTCTTCAGGGTCCTCTCTTGGCCCACCTTGTAGGCGTGACCGTTACTGAAGCCTCAATGGGGGTTAGAACTTCCAGATCAAAGCTAGAATGGCTACCCACTATAAGTCACCTTGTGGGAGCTGGGAACTGAACCTGGGTCCTCTTGAAGAGTAGCCAGTGTTCTTAACTGCCAAGCTATCTCTCCAGCCCCATATCTCTATAATTTTAAGTGATCATTCGCATGTCTGTTCACAGGTGGATCATGTTTACTTAAATTTTTTTTTTGTGAGTGAAACATTTGGTTTTCATTTTTGTAAAATTATAAATAGTATCTCATGATAAGACACATTTGTCCAATTTTAAAGATATTCTTGAAAATTTAATTCTTAAATATGGAATTTGTGGTCTCAGGATATGGACGTTGGAAAGACCTTAACTTTGTATTTTCTGGGATTTCCTTGGAAGGGCACATCCTCCAGCAGAGGACAGTTTGTGGAACATGCTCCATTCCTGTTCCTCCCCATGCTAACCAGCCTGTGTTTTTGTTTGTCTTCAGCCCATGG